TATATAATGAGGAATAATAATAATATCTAGCACCAATCTAGATGACTATATTTAATATGTTAAATTAAATTAATCATGTTACATTGTGGTTAAGTGAGTATATCATTTAATGTCATGTAATTGCAACATATATTGGTACTTAACACCACACCAATGATATTGAATAGTATTACTCTATAATGAGATAATCGTCTCATTTACAATGAAGCTATATTATGTATAGGGCCCACAACCATTATAATCCTCTCATTTAATTCGTGCATTATGACTAGTACTTTAATTGTTACGCCATCACATTGGTAACCAAACTTTCTTTCCTTAGAAAAAAGTCGCCTAACAATCACACTTTCCAACTCTTATATATGACATTATTTATTGATTAGGTCCGCCGATATTTAATCTCTCAATTTTGTTGTGGGCTTTGGCTAAATGATAGACTTGTAAAATGCAATGGATTTGTTTGGTGAATGTCGAAGACAGGGATGTAGCCATGATTTTAATTTTGTGGGGGCGAAAATACGGGGGTCGAGGGGGGCGGACCCCTCTCCCGTTCCCGAAATTTTTTTTTTTAACTAAGAGGATTGAAAATGACGATTTTGAGTACCAAAATAGGCAAGTTAGATTGATGGACCAAAAATACAATTAGTTTGCCGATACAAAAATAATATGTTCATCTATGTGTCTAACGTTATACAAATTGAAAACATGAACGTTAGATGGATATTTTGTGCGCTGTGGGTATGCTTTTGGATTATTGATTTATAAATGAGTCATTTGCTTTTGGATTGGATTTGGGCTATTTATTTATTTAAGTAACTATTGGATCTTTTGTTGTGGAAATTACATAAAACCAGACCTTTAGTTTTACGTTTTAAAAAATCAGGTTTCAACTTTATTTATTCATTTTTCATATTTTTATCATTTTAATTAAACAATTAATCTTTTAATTAATTGACGCGCATATTCCGTTAATGGAGGGTTTCAAATTTGTTAATATCCTAACTTCCATTTTTATTCCATCCCTATTTTCTCTCACTCAAGCACTGTCTCATCTCCACCTTCTTCTCACCCAATTTCCTCCATATTTTTCAAAATCAACTGTGATAAATCTCCAATCTCCACCTCCACTCCTCCATTTTTTTCAATTAAAGTACCGAAAGAAATAAAGCCTAAAACCCGAACAAAATTTGATTTGGAAGGAAAAAAATTGAAGAGCTATATTTTCCCCCCTTTCGTCACTTTTCTGGTTAAGGTTGGAAGAAGGAAGGGTCTGCTTCTTTGGAGGCTTTTGCAAATTCTTGCATATCAATTCTTAGATTTACTTGGATTTTTTTCATCTTACTTTTACCTTTTTTAAAGAGCAACGTCTAAGGTGGGTTCTTTTCCTAAAAAAATTTATTTTCTCAAAGGGTTCTCAGTATCTTATGGTCCACGTATTTATAAGCAAATG